AATGGAGAACACAAAATTGGTCCAAAAACCTCTTATGTTCAGCTGTTTTTTTGTAAAAAGATAACAATGTTAGCCTTTTTTGCAGCTATAGGGGATTTATGGCATCACTCTTGGCTGGAAGCAGTGCTTAATCAATGGAAAAAAACACAAACTTTGTCCAAAAACCTCTCATGTTTAGCTGTTTCCCCCTTTTTCTTTGGTCATTTTTGACCAGGGTGAAGGGAGTAACTACGACGGTGTTTGCTAGTTCACCTTATGTGCATTAATGTAATAACGTGGTTAGCCTACTCAACGTAAATTACACACGGACAACATTAAGCTACTCACACAGAAGAACGGCTGTTGCTGCCATCATTATCCGTCATCATTTCTGCTACACTGGCAGGGCTAGGGGCCAGGAGTCTCCTCTTCGGGTTTTTGGGGGATGTTGCAAACTCCGGGTCCGATAACAGGCAACCCACCCGCAGTAGATGTGCATGATGTGAGGTCTCGCAGCAAGCTATCAAATACGGTGCATTTCTCGGCTTTAACAAAATGCTACACGTCGCCAGGTGTTTCATCAGATTCGAGGAGTTACCTCCTTTGCACAGTATCACCTTAAAGCACTTGTTGCAGGCTGCTGAGTTTGCAGGACCTGTACAGCACTCGCTGTCTCAAGAGGGCACGCAGCATCCTACGGGACGGTACACACCCAGGACACCGGGTGTTTAAGCTGCTGCCGTCCGGCAGGAGGTTCAGGCTGCTGAGGTCCCGGACAAATAGACTTAAGGACAGCTTTTACAACAGGGCAATAGCCCTGATCAATGCAAATAGCTGACCTGATTGGCTACCTCCCTGGACTTTTTTAGGGGGGAGGTAACAATGTTTAAAACAACAATAATAATAATAATATTTATATTTATAACAAGGTGCAATAATAATTAATGTGCAATAACAACAGTGTGCAATAAAAATACACTTATTCTTCTTTTTTATTACTAAGTTATTATACTGTGTTGTGTTGTTTGTGTTGCGTTGTGATGTGTCATATCGTGTCGTGTTGTGTTATATGTAGTGCCGACGTAGGACAGTTTTCCAATTTCATTGTACTATTGTACTATGTATGACTGTGCAATGACAATAAAGAGTTATCTTATCTTATCTTATCTTATCTTATCTTATCTTATCTTTTGCTGTGAAGTACAGCGAGACTTTGACCGCTTCGGCTTGGGTATTTTTAATCTGTAGTTCTGCTCTAAAAGAACGTACGTACCTGGACCCGCCTACTACGCTTGCAAAGGTAAAATGATTGGCTAGAATCCAAAGTGTATGACATTTCAGGGAAAAAAAAGCACCGAAATAAAGCACCGAAATGTGCGCTGCTTTTCGGTCTGGTTACTACCGTTTATGTCAGAACCGGACCGGTACCCATCCCTATTCAGGATCTCTGTTACAATGTTACTGTTTTGGTTGTGCTTCATGAAAGACATTGAGTGTGTATTGGGGAAGTTATTCAGGAGAACTCTCAACAGCATTAACTGCCCTGTTACTGTAAAACCTTAATAAACCACAGTGAAGCAAAATGTCTTGTGCTTAAGACTCTATGTGAAAGTTAAAATATATATGTTCAGTGCACATAGATATATAGAGTATATAGTTACATAGTTATACATATCATACAAAAATCCTCCACACGGAGAGTATCCTGTCAAACTCCATCACAGTGTGGTACGGGAACTGCACCACTCAGGGCAGAAAGGCTTTCCAGCATGTCATTAAAATGGCACAACTCATCTGTGGAGTACCCCTCCCATCACTACAGAACATTTACAACACTTGGGTCAGGAAAAGGGGTTCATCAAGGACCACACCCACCCACAGCACACATTGTTCACACTCCTGCCATCTGGCAGATGCTGCCTAAATGTGAAAGCAAGGAGCACCAGACTAAAAAACTGTTTCTATCCACAGGCCATCAGGCTACTAAATCTCTGACTTACTGTCGGACTGTAATTATCCATAACTGTAAATTTGCAATTTTGTACATTTATATTAATCTGTAAATAAGCAATTTTTGCATATATCTTTACATAAACACTTTTGCATACTCTGTATATATTATCACGGTGAAAGTGTTGAAACTACTTACACTTTAAATTCTAATTACACCCACACATAAGTTACAAGCTACAAGTGCCACAAAGCACTGTTTTACTTATTTATTACTTTCTTTTTAGTTGTGTGAAGGGAACCTGCAAAGTAAGAATTTCATTGCTTTGCATAACCATCTATATTTTGCAGTGTACATCACAATAAGCTTCTTGACTCTTGAATCTTTAGTTTACTACCTTTTGTTTCCAAGTCCTGCATTTGGGTCCTAGCTCTGCTTCCCACACAGCACCACCATGAGCAGCATGTGTTTTTGTCACAAAATGTACTTGATAATGAGGGTGGGAAACTGCAATAACATCTCTCAGGAGTCCCAAAGGGCCAGAGGTGTAGCTCTCTTCACTACAACACAGACACAGGTCGGTTCTTTGAAATAGGGGTTTATTACTTGGGCTTTCTCTGCTCTTTAGTTACACCATCAAGTCTTCAGGCCTTAACGCCAGTACACCATTATGCCAATAGACCATTATGCCAATACACAGTGAGAACTGTTTAAATTGAGTGAACGGTACACACACATTAGCAATTTTACAGTACATATATTTAGTCCAAACATAAAATAAAGACAGAAATACCTCGTTGACCGCTTGTCCTGAAAAGAGGTCCTGATGTATTTGTGTTACTTTGCCTTGATTTCTTTTTTTTTTTATTTCTTTTTTTTTTCCCATGGGTGGAATTTAATGAACAAATTTCAGCAAATTTTCATGAATCTCTTTATTTATCTAGCAAAATATAAAATAAGAATCATTGCAGAATCATTATCAGGATAAATCAGAGGAAAGCCACCCACGTGGCATTATAAGCACAATCAACTGATTAACAAGGTTTACTCTTACTCTCTTTTATACTTCTTACAGTTTCTATTTTACACATCTAAACTAGATTTGTTCATGATGAGTTTGCAATGATCAGGATG